ACATAAAAAACCGAACAATTCAAAGTTTAACTTTTTTTTTCAAAAATTACAAATTTTTTTTATATTTTTATTATAACAAAATTAGATATTGAGTTAATTGGTTCAACATAACATATTTTTATAATATTTCATACTTTTTAAATATCTAAATTTTCATAATATATCATATTTTTATTATACCTTTACTTATACTTTTCACCCACCCAACCAGTTCGTCATCGCCGCTGTCTGCACTTTGGCTCTCGCCATGGGTGTTCAATCCTCAATCATTCCCGGTCTGCTGCCCGGTCTTACACAAATCGCCGGACACGGTCTCTCCTACACCGCCGTCTCTGGACCATTGGCCGTTCCCGTTTCCATCGCTCACGCTCACGCTCCAGCTGCTGTAATCGCTGCCGCCTCACCACCAATTGCCATTGCTTCTCATGCTGCTGCTATCGCTGCACCCTCTGTCGCTGTGCATGCACCTGCTGTGGCGGCGGTTGCTCATGGCGGTGTTGTAGCCGGTGGTGCTTACGTTGCCAAGACCCGCGGTGCTGTGCATTCGGCTCCATTGCCCGGACACATYGCCTCAGTGGCAAATGTGAATGTTGCCCCCGCACCAGGAACCTGGTAAATTCAGCCAATCTAGCTACACATCCGTCTACACCTACTCTCCCCCTGACATGGCCAACTCATTAAGGACCTGCATAAAAATTATAAATATGTGGCTGAGGCGCACATTAGTCGATAAAGTTAAGTAGGCGCAAATTTTAACACACGCAGTATGCAACGAACGAGCAACAATAATATACTAGTTGAATTCCACAACATTCATCAACACAAACGCAACAATGCAACGAACAATACATTAATGTGGTTTTTATACATCTTCTTCTAATATTCATCTCCATTGCACTTTCACTCACTGCATTCCCCTTTTCCTATTGCAAATTCCTCTTTTCATCGAAGCTTACTTCTGCAGATGCTTGTAAAAAGTATGGTTGTAAATGAATAAAATGATTACGACTAAAAAACAAAATTAAGAGATTTTTGAATTCTTA